ATGTCTGATAACTGATCCCTTCTACACCTCGTGGGCAGACAGGCTGGTGTGCTTCTTCCATATGGGCTTTGATGCTTCTCAGCTAGATGGCCGCTTGTATGTCTTCAAGCCTTTAAGACCCCGGACGCTATATCTTATGGTAGCCAGGCATGGTATGTGTATTTCTTTGCACACAGATACCATTATTTTCATGCACCGGTGTTGAAAAACCTACTACTTCTGTTGTTTCTAGATTGGGGTCATTACGCATTTAGTGGCTATAAACATTCTGAACAAGTCTTCTAAGAATAAATGTCTTTTCTTGGGTAAAGATATGGAAGTAGAATTGCTGGTGTATAGGTTATATGCACATGTAACTATACAAGAATTCCAAAGTGGCTGCATTGTTTTCTATGTGTACTGCCCCGGCAGCACTGTTGGTTATGTGTTAGACTGCTAACCGTGGCTACTCCGTCATGATTTACAGTCTCGGAAACCTTAAACAGAGGTGCAATGAGTTGGAATCGATTCAATGGCAGTGGGTAGGTGTTTTTTCCCCTCCACAAACAATGTCTAAGTATATGTCACAAAATGCCCATTATAAATTCCACAGTCCTCGGCACTGTAGCTATCACTAACGGGGCTTTGGAATAAGCACACAAAATACTGACACTCCAGCTGCTGTTATTTCTGAGAGTCATAATGTGCAGAAATGTGCAGACTGACTCCGGAGTCTTACAGCTTCAGCCAGAATCCCCTGAATTACAGCAGGCACGTGTGCTACTCCACAGTAGAATACAACTCCAGACCCTTTCATGGTGCGTAACATGTTTTCTGCAGAAAAACACTTTATTTTCTTTTTACTATAAAATACCAGAGAACATGTGTTGATCACATCTCAATAAAAAATTCCAAATTAGTAGTCATAATATGGTTAATAGAAACTAACAAATAAAGGGTGGTAGCTATCCATGTCTACTATTCTGTTTTTAAAAAATAAGCACACCTGACATTTTTACTTTGGCAATGTTTTTGGTTGTTATTTACCTCTACACCAGCAGAGGCATCAAATACAGCCACTGCCCCATCCAACACTCTTAGGCAGCGCTCAACCTCCAAGGTAAAGTCCACGTGACCTAGAAGAAGATGATACACATGGCACGTACGGTCTTTCATAAAACTAACACACACACACACACACACACACACACACACACACGGTCTTTCATCTCTCACACACACACACACACACACACCCTGGAATCATGCAGCCTTTCATAACACACACACACACACACACACACACAAACACACCTGGAATCATGCAGCCTCTGCAATGCCAAAGAGCGCCGTACCTGGTGTATCAATCAGATTGACTCTGTAGCCCTTCCAGTCACAGGTAACAGCAGCCGACTGAATGGTAATACCTCTTTCTCGCTCTTGAGCCATGAAATCTGTCACTGTGTCTCCATCATCAACATCTAATCATGAAAAAGACAACATACTTTAGTCTCAACAGCAAGTACTCAGTGTGGACCTGACATGGGGCTAACTTCATTCAGAAAAATCCTTCCTAAGACAGCAGGCCTGATATTTAGAGCCCTCAAACTTCCTCTAAGTAAACCCTGATCTAGAACAGCTCTTCCCGTAGGATTCATAATTGTGCCATCTTTACCACCTGAGAGTGACAACGGTTTAACTATTTCAACTTGACTGGACCATACAGAACGTCCTTCCTTCCTTGCCCTTCTCCAGCAGACTGCCCTGACTCCTGGCCTCTTGACACAGCAGACACAGCAATGCGGTCGGAGAGCACACAGTCTTTCAGGTGCAGGCACACCTCGATTTAAATCCCAACGCCACTGCTTACTACTCTATGTTCTTGAGCAGGTTCCTTAACCTAGTTTGTAAAATTAGGGCTAGTTAAGACAGCCTTTCCGAGTTGCTATAAAGATAAAATGAGACAATATATAAAAGGGGACTTCAAAATGTGTGAGAAAATAGAATTTTTCCAGACTTTTGAAGCCCCCTCATATAAATTACCTCTAGTTCAGTAGATGGTAAATAAATGGTATCTAGGTAAGAACAGAGTAGGGAAAAATTCTTCTAAAGTTAAAGTTATCCCTTATACATCCTATCTTTACTAATTTTTCCAAAGAAAGTGGCTCATTTGTGAAGAGCTTGAGGAGTGGAAGGACGCTTCTGATCGGATCTGTGAGATAAGACGGGGGCGCCTGCCAGTGCTCCCGCTGCGCTGTCAGCTACCATCTCCACCTGGGAACAGCAACTCCAGGAGAAACCCACGCACTTAGACGTGTGGGAACCATTTTCATCCTGGGTGTTCGTTTCCTCTACAGATGTGCCATTCTGTCTTAGTCAGTTCCAGGTATCTAGAGCAATGGTTCTCAATTGGGGTGCACAGAAAAACCAAAGTTGAGCTTTTTAAAATTACAGGGACTCATTTCTAAGTTATTGGGAATCTGATGACCTCCCTGCAAATTTCAAAATAAACTGGTTTTACCAGAAATAAAGAGGGACACTTCATAACAGTAGGGCTGATTCACCAGGAAGATAAAACAATCATAACTGTGTAAGTATCCACTAACGGAGTTTAAAAAAACACGATACAACAATACAGACATCTAGTTTAACGTCAGTTCCAGAATGGGGCTAGCGTTTCCTTGTTTAAAAACAAAAGCCTGGTCAAGAATCAGACATCCTGATATATTATCACTAAAAATACATTCAAATTTTAGGTAAAGAGCCTGCCACTGTGTGTTAAAGACGAATAAAATGTTATCTTTTTAATAAGAAATTGACTTGAGGTTAACTTTCCAGCTCTATTCTCCTAGAAAGCTAAGAACCGAGAGATGTCAACTGATTTCTACCGGTTAACCACATCTGAAATGGGACAAAGAATACATGAATCCTAAAATAGCAGATGAAAGCACAAAGCGTGGGCTTCCTTGAGCTGGGTAAGGCATGTCTTTTGGAGGAGCCTAGAAGGCATGTCTTTGGAGCTCCAACAAGAGATATGTGCTCCTCTGGGGCATATGTCTGCTGAGCCAGGGTAGCTTCTGCACCCGCCTGATGGGAATCCGGATGCCCTGTACTCAAGTATCACTTTGGGGGATAGGAAGGCAAAGAAGATAGTTCGCGGGTATAAGAACACTTTAGAAAAGAAGCTCCTAAGGCTAAACTGGTGGAGCTATGGGTTAGACATTGGACTACAAGCCACAAAGCTAGCAGGTCAAACTCACCAGCCACTCCAAGGGAGCGGGATGAGGCTGTCTGCTCCCATAATGGTGTGCCGACTCAGCGACCCCATTAAGGGCCATTACATGTTGGAAACAACTCAATGGCAGTAAGTTTTTGGCATACGAGTCTCCTCATAAGTGATGTACCCTTTAACACCACCAAATTAGACAAATGAACATATATCATATATTCTCCTGATGCCAAATGTGACCAATGATGGTCTGTCTAAGAACCTATGGGGGAGTTACAGCAGCCTTAACTTTATGCCGTGGCTTAGAGATCAATACCACCACATCATACTCAAGGTCTGTAGTCTAATGACTAGATCAAGGTATTTCCCAAGGCAGCTCTTACTAACGGGAGCCAGGGGGAGGAGAAAGCCACTCTAACCTCCCAGGGATCTTGTGTATCCAGAATAGTACAGAATTCTTTCAGTTGTCGTCGTTTTCCCTGCATCAATATGAGCCATAATCCCAATGTTACGAATTCTGTTTAAAGGAAGAAAAGCATGTATTATGAGGTGGACATTACTAAAAAATCACAAAACCAATGCTGTGCACATTTCAAAACTCATCACCATCTCTATAATTTATACAATGGTGAAAAAGCTTGGAAAACAGAGCATTTCAGGGCATACCCTACTGCATTACTCTGCCTAAACAGCTAAATAACAAAAGAACTACAATTTTGGGATTATTTGACATTTGTTTCCAGGGAACCTAATAGTGTTGCTACATTTAAACTGTTAGCATTGAATTAAGAAAAGAAACAGCTTTGAGACACATGCCAACATCTACCCAAAACTAGCTAGGATGGAAGGTCACAGAAATTACAGTATTCTCTACTAATGAGCTATATGAACTAAACCTTGTGAGTTAGTTAATTATGCCAGCCTGGCCGATAATCACATGTGGGGCTAATTGAAAGGCAGAGGGATAAATGGGTGGTGAAGCCTCGCCTTTCTAGTTCTCGGGTCTCTTGTTTTGTGATGGTCGCACCGGGGGCAGCTGCCTTAGCAGTTCCCTGCTTCAGCTTGCAAGATTGACTTCCTACAAGACATCCCCAAGGAGAAGCCACATGGACCCATTCCGATGCAGCCCCGGGTGCTGGAGCAGCCGTGTGGAGAATCCTGCTAGTGCTGAGATGCTTATTCGTTCACTGACTCAGCTTTCCTCCTGCAGTCGGCATCATTGCCTCTGTTTTGTGAGGTGGAAGACTTTGTGGACTGGTGTTGGGTTAATGGGTTAATGTTGGACTTGTGGGCTTGGGCAGCACTGGGTTGAGATGTTTTCATGATGCACATTTTCTTTACATAAAACTCTCTTATACATGAGTTGCTGTGGATTTGTTTCTCCAAAGTACCCAGACTAATACACCTTGTAACTTTCCAAACAGTCAACGGAAAACGATACCAATGATAGCACTTACTTAGCTATAGGAGGATTGATGACGGAGCGAAGAGATTTGATATCATTTCCTACTACACCTAATGGAAAGAGGGTTAAAATCAAACTGTTAAGCTTAAGCAATACTCCTCTAACTTAAAAATAAAAGGTAAAATTATTTTAAGTAAATACTGTCATTCCCAACCAAGGAAAAATATAAGCGAAACAAAATAAATAATAAATATTTAACTACAATTTCTTGTCCATTATTCTACAAGGACATGGGTTTAAATGATAACAAAAGTAAGCTAAACCTTAAGCACCAATTTCTAGATCATAGCTTTAGAAAAATATAAATTTATCCCAATCTCCTACAAATTCTATTTACAGAACTGTATAATTAGAATTGCTAGTCAATGGCAGACGCTGAATCAGAGAAAATATAAACAACGCAAAGAAAATAAACCTGCATCTCCCCAAGGCTTGGGGAGCCAGAGTGCCTGCCCCTCAGCCAGTCACTTCTGTACTATGTGGAACTTATTTTCCTCAGCAATCCCAGGGCTCAGACGCCACTATAATGTAATCCTTCTCAAAGACCCGGCAGTAGTTCTGCAGTATGTAAAGTCCAGAATGCCTTATTCTAGTACTGCAGTACATTCTATCTTTAAAAATTATAGTAAGGCAATTTAAAATGTTAAGCAGTAACAGTTTTAAATTTAATTTATATCCTCCTGCTATTTTGATGTATTCTCCCAGATGTCTATAACAAAACAGGAGCTTCATGTTTACAGATCTCATGGCAATTTGGGACGTGAAAGATAATCTGAAGTTAAGATTCATAGTGGGCAAAACCAGAGATCTAGGGACACACTGAATCCACTTGCATATTAATCGTCACTCAGGGTTCCTACAAAACTATTCTTACATTGCACAGTAGACCTCGCACTTCTACTCTGAGGTGACACCGCCCCTAGATTGGGAGCACAAGCTCACACAGATACTGGTACAGCAAGGCTTCCTGCAGCACAGACTACGCAATGCACCCCAAGGGTCCTTCGGTAAACAAAACGTGGTAACTGTACACAGTGAATGTTATGCAGCCCTGGAGAAAAATAAAGTTCGGATAGACACTGCAACATGATTAAACCCGGGAAGTATTATGCTGAGCGAACTAAGTCAGACACAAGGGACAAATACTGTCCTGTCTACAGAGCCCACATATCTGAAGTGTCTACAGTAGGGAAATGCATAGAGACAAGAGGTGATTAGTGGTCCCCCGAGATTAAAGGGAGGAAGGGATGAGGAATTTTGTTTAAGGGTTATTGAATTTCTATCTGAGATAGTAAAAAAAGTTTCTTTTGAAACTGAGTGGTGACATTTATACAATATCATGAATGCAATTAATGTCACTTAACTGTACACACTTAAAAATGTTTCAAATGGTGGCAGTTCTGATACTTTATCTCACAATAAAATTTACAGGCACAACAGAAATAAAATAGCTTGCTTACTTCAAACACCAACCCTCAAAACCAAATCCACTGCCACCAAGTCGATCCCGACTCATCTCCACCCACGCCAGGGTTTCAGACGCTGTGAATCTTCACAGGAGCAGGTGGCTTGACACTCTCCCACGGAGCAGCTGGGGGGTTTGAACTGTCGGCCTTGTGGTTAACGGTCTAACGTTTACCCAGCAGTGCCACCAAGGCTCCTCTTTGCACACAGGACATTGAAAATTAAGAGTAGGAAGCTTCTAGGTCTTCCAGCATTTAATAGTCAAATACCTCACCTCCACCCCGCCAGCTAGTTAATCGAATGATATAATTTTAGGAACCTCCAACAAGGTTCCTGACGGAAAAGTCTTTTGCACAAATACCTCAAGTGGACCAGAAAATCATTGACAGCAAGAGCCCTCTGCAAGCAGACACGAGTTAAGCTTCTGGGCCGGCTACAGGGCCACCAAGCCTCCCTTCACTCAGCTCAGTAGCACGGCCAGCAGCACGCAACTCTGCTGGTCTGCCCTCCTGACACTGCTCAGAACCGCCTCAGCCCGAGCAGCCTTCAAGACGCCAGTCAAGCAGTGAAAAGGGGCTTTACGAGACAGGTGGAGATTCCTGTGAGGGAAGGTGTGTATGAAACAAGAAAGGAAGCAAGCAGCTGGGCTGAAATGAGAAGAATCTAACCTGTGTACCTGTACCTGGCAAGGAGCTGTAATTTCTTCCAAGGGCTGTCTGTGGCTTTAATCCTTTTGTTCTTCTTTTGCAGCAGCATATATTCTAGTGAGAAAAAGAAGTCAATTTTTGGTTTATTACTGTTTTAACAATGTAACTGTTTTCTCGGAGGAAAAACCTACTTTGCATCTCCTTAAAAGTATTCATATATATCTCCTAATTTAGTAACTCCAAATGTTAAAAACTGACAACCCTAAATTATAATACAGGGAAGAAAAAGAATAAAAATAATAATAGTTTAACATTGTGAATTAATCCTAAAGTACTGGTTCTCCATAGAGAATGAGGAGTAAACTTGATTGAAAAGCAAAGTCTCAGGCCTCCCCTGCCTCCTGGACCAGAAACCATAGTAACGGGGCCTGGCAACTGATGTTTCAACAACCTCCCAGGTGTGTGTGACAGCCACCGAATGAGAATCAAGGTCCTAATTTAGGAAGGGAATCAGAAAGGGAAAAGGAGGCGTACCACCTGGGCATTCCTCAGGTCTCTTTAAGGGCTGCAAAAGGCTGGTGAGGGTTTTGAGCTCTAAAGTTACAAGGTGCTTGCAGAAATGTGTAACACTGGCTACAAATTAAAATCAGCTGGCAATTTTGTAAAACTTAAGTGTATGGTATTTTAAAAAGTTCCCAAAAGTGGTCCACACATACTTTAGTTTGACTTAGCTACAAATACAAATGAAGGCCAAACCCAACCAACCCAACCTACCCCCCCGCACCCCCTCAAAAGCAGATGGTTTTATTTGAGAATTGCTCTCTCTGAAAGTACACAGAAGTACAGAAGATGTGACAGTTTACAAAATAACTTACAATGTTTTGAAGGGGATTCTTAAGTCAGACCAGAGTTTTGAGACTAAGAAAACATCCCCGAAAGGTCAGGCTGCTCAGTGAGTATTCAAGAGTTACCCAAAAGAAAATGAGAAGTAGTTGACATTAATTAAAAAAAAACAAAAACAAGCAAAAAACTTTATTTTACAGGAACATCAAACTATGGGCACCTAGATTATACACAGGGGCATATAAAATTTTGTGGGGGGGGGGAACCCCACTATCTTTTAAGTCCATTTTCCCACAAACTTTTGAAGACTCCTCATGTAAGTATAAACTATGTTCTTAGTAGCCCGCTCACAGATGTGCACGAAGTGCTTCTATTCTTAGAGGCCCCTTGTCAGGAGTGCTGGCGGCACCACTGGGTAAGCACTGGACTACTAATCACAGGTCCACAAAAGAGGAAATAGCAACTGGAGCAGAGCTCATTGAGTGTACAGGCCATCTCAAGAACAGATTTGATGCATAGAACACTAAGGACCAAAGACCAGAGGAGTTGTGGACTGACGTCAACATTATCACACACGAAGAAAGCAGAAAGTCATTAAAAAAAGTATTCAACCAAATTGGATATCAGAGGAGACCTTGAAACTTGCTTTTGAACAAAGAATAGCTAAAGAAATGCTGAAGAGCTGAACAGATTTCAAACAGCAGCTCGAGAAGACAAAATGTTTAATAATATGTGCAAAGACCTAACATTAAAAAAAAAATCAAAAGGAGAGAACATTCAGCATTTCTCAAGCTGAAAGAACTGGGAAAACAAAAAAACCCAAGCCTCAGGTTGCCAGAATGAAGGAAGCTATGGGCAAACATTGAAAGGCACACGGAGCACAAAACATGATAAAAGGAAGAAGGAGTCACTGAATCAAAAGACCTAGTTTACATTCAACTACTTCAGGAGGTGGCATATGACCAAGAACCAATGGTGAAGGAAGAAATCTAAGCTACACTGAAGCCAAGGGTTAAAAACAAAACTGCAGGAATTGTTGGAATGCCACTTGAGATGTTTCAACAAATGGACACAACACTGGAAACACTCACTCATCTCTACCTAGAAATCTGGAAGACAGTTAAGTAGCCAACTGATGAGAAGAGATCCATGCTGTGCCCATCCCAAAGAAAGGTGGCCTCATACAATGCAAAACGTATCTAATAATATCACACGCATGTTAAATTTTGCTGAAGTGAAAAACATACTTTGACATGGGACTACCGGAAATTTAAGCTGGACTCAGAAGAGGATGTGCAATCAGGAATATCTTCCTGAATATCATGTAGACCCTGGTTAAGAACAAAAATGCCAGAGAGATGTGTATTTGTCTCTTGAAGACTATACATACGCATTTAACTATGTGGATCATGACACATAATGGACAAAGTTGTGAACAATGGGACCTCTGGAACACTTCACTGTAATTATGTGGGCCCAGAACACAGACAAGATGCAGTCATCATGGTTTAAATCAGGAAAGGTGTACGTCAGGGTTGAATCCTTTCATCAGACTTGCTCAGCGTGAATAATTCAAGAAGCCGGAATGAAGAACACAGCCTCAAGACTGGAGCAAGATTCATGCAGATGACAGAACTTTGCTTCCTAGAGACAAAAAGGATTCAAAGCACTTACTGATAAAGATCAAACACTACAGCCTTCAGTATCAATCAAATCTCAAGATGTAACGAAAATCTCAAAAGTACACCAATACATAGTATCATGATAAATGGCAAAAAGGCTGAAATTTCATTTTACTTGGACACACAATCAATGCCCATGGAAGCAGTATTCAGGAAATCAAACCATGCCTTGCACTGCGCAAATCTGCACAAAAGATCTCTTTTGGGTTAAAAATTAGAGATGTCACTTTGAAGACTAAGGTACACCTGTACCAAGCCACAGTATTTCTAATCACTTCATACGCATGTGATTTGAACTATGATTCTGACAAAGACTACTGAATACACCACAGACTGCCAGAAGAAGTAGTTCTATCTCATAAAAAGTACAAGTAGAAGCACACGGAAGCACACCAGCCTGTCCCTACTCGATCACTGAGGACAAAGGGGGTGCATTAGCAAAAGTGTGAAGAAAACAGATGATGCCGGCTACCAAATGATACAGTATCTGGGGTCTTAAAGGCTTGAAGACAAACAGGCGGCCATCTAGCTAAGAAACAACAAAACCCACAAGGAAGAAACACACCAGCCTACCCTGACACGAATGCTGAAGACAGAGTTGGTACATAAGCAAACGTGGTGAAGAAAGCTGATGGTGCCAAGCAGTCAAATTACACAGAATCTGGGGTCCCACATGCTGGAAGATAAACAAGGTGCCATCTAACTGAGAAACAACAAAGCCCACATGGAAGAAGCACACCAGCCTGTAAGATGACAAGGCGGTGAAGGGGTCAGGTATCAGGCATCAAAGACAAAAAAAAATCATAACATTGTGAATGAGGGGGAGTGCAGAGTGGGGACCCAGGGCCCATCCAGGGGAAATTGGACATCCCCTTGCAGAAGGGATGCAGGGAGGAGATGAGCCAATCAGAATGGTGTAGCAACGATGAAATATGCAATTTTTCTCTAGTTCTTAAATGCTTCCTCCACCCCACTACCATGATCCCAATTCTACCTTACATATCCGGCTGGACCGGAGGATGTACACTGGTACAGATAGGAACTGGAAATACAGTGAACCCAGGACAGATGAACCCTCCAGGACCAGTGGAGAGTGGCGATAGTGAGAGGGTGGAGGGAAGGTGAGGGAGAAAGGGGGAACAGATTACAAGGTCTACATATGGCCTCCTCCCTGGGGGACGGACAGCAGAGAAGTGGGTGAGGGAGATGTCAGATGGGATAAGATATGATAACATAATATAATTTATAAATTATCAAGGGGGGGGAGCGGGGAGGGAGGGGGAAAAATGAGGAGCTGACACCAAGGGCTCAAGTGGAAAGCAGGTGTTAAGAATGATGAAGTCCACATATATACTAATGTGCTGGGCACAAACGATGTATGTACGGATTGTGATGAGTTGTATGAGCCCCTAATAAAATGATTATTAAAAAAAAAAATACAAGTAGATAACCCTAAGAAGCATGAATACAGAGACCTCACTTCATGTGCTTTGGACATGTTATCAGGAGGAGGATATCATTCTTGGTAAAGTAGGATTGTCAGCAAAGAGGAGGACCCTTAATAAGAGGGATTTATACAGGGGTTGCAACAAAGGGATTAAATAGCAAGAATTGTGAGGGTAGGGCAGGGCCAGACAGTGCTTCGTTCCACGGTATGTAGAGTTTTTATAAGTCGCTGCCAACTAGATGGCCCCTAGCAATAAGTTTAGAATCAGAGCTAATGTGCTATAATAGTAGGCTGTTTGGGGAAAGTCAGGTCACTAAAGCTGTTGAAGTACATTTTTTTAAACTCCTTACGTTCATGTGCAAACTGGATATTTTTTGATGGTTTGCTGCAAGTATCCTCCAGTTGAACAACAACATCTTGACTCTGAAAACTGCTGATCTGTGAAGAAATTAATACGTAAAATTAGAAAACAGAATTTATGAAATGTCAGTACATATCTGTAATTAAGGCATATGCAGTACATATGGTAAAATGCATTACTTTAAAAAAGTAGAAACAGGACAAATACTGTTTGACCTCACATATTAAAAAGATAGGAAAATGCAAAATGTGTAGACATAAAAGCTTATTTGTGGGTACCAGGATGGGAGGGAGGGGAAAGGGAAAAAAGGATAAACAATACAATCAAATCAACCATACACGATGCAGCCTGTATTTTGTACAAATCGAAGTGTGACCATTGCTTAACCCTCAGAGCTGCTTTTCTCCTTTTTTATTTCTGACTCAGAAGGGGGAAAAGGTCACTGATGGCTCTGAGAATTATAAAAAAAAACACAACTCAATGAGTTCCAAATTTAAACCAAACTATTAAAAATTCCCACGAAGTGAGAGATGCATACCTGCCAGCAACAGTAAGACTGCATGTCCCAAAGAAATCTCCACAACAGTCTAGTGCAGTATTCCAAAACGAATCCAGTCAACGTCAGGAAAGCGATTTCTCCTGGTGACTTGGTTGTGATGGAAAGATGCATAAGGCAAGTTTCTCAGGTGCATGCTATTGTGGTTTCTTGATCTGAGTGCTCACATGTGGGTGGTCGGCTTCTGAAGACCCATGGAAATGGACCTCTACAGCCTATGCATTTTTGCATGTATGTTATATGTCAATAAAATTTTTTTTGAACTTTTTACAAACTGTTGCTTAAAGAGCGGTGTCACTGGGCACTTCTCCTGTGAAAGCTTAAGCTTTAGAATCAGAGGACTCAGAGGAGTCCCAAGTCTTCTGTGATCTTGAGTAAATCATTAAAATCTGAGCCGAAGTCATTTTATCCTCACATCATCACACCACAGATGGTGTGAGAATTAAATGTATTTATTTATTTCCTCAACAAAAACCTCTTGAATGTCTTTGGTTGATGGATGTGAACAAAAGCCAATACCACCCTCATCCCAGGCAGGGGATACAGACAACAAATAAAATGAATAAATAAAGCATATCCATTTCCTATCGTGATAGTGCTACGGAGAAAAATTAAGCATTTTTCATTGTAAGGAAGAGCATCAAGGAAGGTCTCACACCAAGTAAAAACCTAGAACAGGGGTGGTGGTGGTGGTGGTGGTGGTATAGCAATACCTGGAAGAAGTGTATTCCAGGAAGAGGCATGACACTGAATTTAGTGGGCCTGAAAATAAAGAAATGCTTTGTTGTTGTTGTTGTTAGATACAAATGCTAGCTAGCAGTATTTCTTGGTTCACAGAAAACTCTTAAATCACATTAAAAGATAGAAGCAACAATGCTTCAAATCTGAGCACTTAGGGCTTAGGGACACACAGTGTCTTTTAGTGCTGCTAAGAAACCCTTTTGGCTTGGAAGCCCTGGTGGAGTAGTTAGTGGTTACGCACTCGGCTTCGCACTGCAGTTTGCGGTTTGAAACAACCAGCTGCTCCCCCAAGAAAGAGAGGACGCCTTCTACTCTCGTAAAAGGTTACAGTCCAGGAAACCCACAGGGGCAATTCTGCCCTGAGCTATAGGGTCATTATGGGATGGCAGTGAGTTTTAGGAACACTGGTGGCTTCATAGTTTAGGACTCTAGCTGCTAACTGCTAATTCCGGCCTACCAGCCACTCTGCTCTTGTAAAGATTTCCAGACTTGGAAACCTTATGGAGTTCTACTCTATCCCATAGGATTAGAATTGACTTGATGACAGTTGATTGGGTGGGTACCGCTATTTGCTTCCACCACAGCTGAATCACATTCTAACCAGAGTTCCACTAGAGGACTTTTGAGAATGCACAATAAAAGGCATTTTATTGTACGAAAACCCCAATCCCAAATATAATTGAAGGAGAGTATTTATTAAGTGAAAGTGGGCTGAGACAACAAAGACATGGACACGTCACCCAAAGGGGAGGCCCATTAGCACAAGGTCATAAGGTTTATGGCACGATTCAGCTAGGATGCTAGTTAAATAAACCATGGAAAAGAAACTGTCACAACTTCATGATTGGTGGCAGACATCACAGTTATAGGTGGGACTACAGAAGGGAGAACAGGGCATGATTGGGGCATGTCCACTATGCTAGATGGAGAACTTACAAGATTGGTCCAGGGCCTTCCCACCAAGACAGTCAGCGCATGACTAATGATTATTCTACCCCTGGACTGTTCATCGAGGACACTCAGGGAGTCGGGGATGGCTGCAGACCTGTGAGGCAATCCACTTTCTATGCACTCTGCCTGAAGGCAAGAATATGCAAGTCCCTGCTTAAAGATCAAAGGGAATTCAATGAAGGTTTAATCCACCTGGGGCCTCGACAGGTGGATTTTGGGTTCTGTCATCCATCGCCTCCTGCAAACAGGGTGCTCCGAATTTAATCTAACACCAAAGAACGTCTGACCCGTTTTCCTAGTCTGACGCGCTTTCTGGTAGCGTGATTTCTTTCATGGCCCTAGAGAGCCAGTGCACACGGCAAGAGCTGCGAGATGCCTCGCGGTTTTCTGACATTAACCAACCTCTAGAAAAACAAAGCGTTTTTTGCTTTCTTTTCTGACACGTGTTAATGCCAAGGAGCTCGTGTGCATCGTTTGTTTGGGCCCATACAAAAACCTTTAATTCTCTGTGTCCTTCTCAATCGTGCACACCTTACAGCGACCCCGGGGCCTACTGGCCGGAGAGACGCGTCCACCATTTGGGCGGTCACTAAGGGCCACAGGCCGCGGACACTGCCGCCCACCCCCAGGTCTGACTGAGTGTCGCTGGCTCGAAGGTCAGCGGTGCCCAGCGCGGGGCAGCACGGTCGTGGAGCGTGCTACCCGGAACCCACCTGGCACTCGGCCGTGTCCCCAGAGCTGGCTTTTTTCCGACAGGCTGGAGAAGGAGACGCGGGTCGTGCCAAACCTCGCGTGACTACTCGGTTAACTAGCGCCCCGGCGGTCTCAGAGGGCAGGAACCTGACGCCGCTCTCCAGCCACGCTGGGCCCGCCTTTCATAACTTCCGGCGGTGCCACGCCTAATGCTCCCTCCCACCAACTTCCGCCCTGCTAGCGACAGGCAGCAAAGGGAGGCTCGGAACCAATGTGCGGCGCTTGCTGCACTCGGTCGTTTGGGACGGTGGCCCTTTCCTGTCGCGGGCGGCTTGGAGTTGGCTCGCGGGTCTCCGGGACCCGAGTACTGAGTGGTTCGTCGCGCCCCGGGACCTGCGTCCAGCGGCGTTGCTGCCGTCACCATGCCACAAATTGAACATAGCGAGTTTGGGGCGTAGGGCGTTTGACGTGGTGGGACCTGGGCACCCTGGGGACGCTAGGGCTGAGGGTAGGGGGTGGCAGGCGGAAGCGAAGTCTTCCTCTCGCCTGAGGGCAGGAGAGGAGACTGGAGTGAAAACAAAAACCGCGTGGGGGAGACCGCGTGAGGTATTAGCCAGAGCTGGGCCTTGGAGGCAACCTGATTTCACCCGGTTAAATCCCGGGCTTCGCCACGTTTCACGTCGTCCTCTGCCGAGCCGTGGGATAGTGCGGTAGATTCGGTAAGCATGCATGCCGCACCTCTTCTTTCGTGCGCTGGCGAAGCCAAAAGCCAGAGTTGTTGAGATGTGGAGCCGACGTACGCTCCCCGGCTGTCTACCTGCCCCATCCTTTTCAACTTTTTTTCTGGTGAATCATCTGTTTCGCTGCAGAATGCCATTTTGTATACCTTTCAAGTGGCTCTTAAGTTGATGTAATAACGATGGCAAATAGCACACAGAACAGCCCCGTCGAGTGTGATGCAGCATTAACGTTTATGCCAGCGCGGGTTTTGAGTAATTAGTTGGATCTTTGCAGTATTAAAATACAAATGGATTCATTTAAGACAAATCAGGCCATTAGACTATAAGAAGGATCCCATATACTGCTGGTGGAAAGGCCAAAGAACTATGCAAATGTTAATTGCAGCTTTGTTCCTAATCACCAGGAAGTAGATACAACTTGTATGTATGCATCAGCTGAATGGTGGTATACCCCACAGTGTAATACTGCTGAGCAATAAAAGTGAAGAGGGCATCATGGGACAGCACAGTGACTTTCAAAAGGCTCTGCGAGGTTAAAGAAACCAGACTGAAAGGTTACACACGTCAGGGCTACTTACATTTCATTCTGGAAAAGGCCAAACTATAGGGACAGAAGTCAGGTTGGGGGTAGGGAAAGGGTTGACTTAAAAGTAGCATTGCGAACTTTTGGGCATGATGGAAATATTGTTATTAAATTCTGTTAAAACTCATACTGTACACAAAGGACAGGTTTTGTATTTAAACCATATTTAAACCAAAACGGACGTAGTTTTAAATGTAGGAAATAGTGGTGTTAAGGAAAAACAGATTATGTTCAGGGAGGAGCAAAAGGAATTGTAGTATCAGTTCTCTCTCATAGCCCAGTGGACTTAGGGCCATACCATGAAACCAACCCCTTTGATATAAAAGTATCTTAAAAAGTTACATAGTTACTTTCACTGAGATTAGTATAATGTCAACCTTGATGCTTCATAGCTTCTAGGATTTATTTAACTTACAGCCTGTGCTTAATAGTATTATTTAAGTGAGCATTTGGTTTGTTTAGGGTCTTTTGAACTTGATGTAATGTGTAAAGGAGTATTTTAGAAATATTCTTAGTATTTATTAAAATTCAATAAATGTTTTTTGTATTGTTCTAGCCACAAAATGAACATATCGAGTTACACCGTAAGCGCTATGGGTATCGTTTGGATTACCATGAGAGAAAGAGAAAGAAGGAAAGTCGAGAGGCTCATGAACGTTCAAAGAAGGCAAAAAAGATGATTGGTCTGAAGGCCAAGCTCTACCATAAGCAGCGTCATGCTGAGAAAATACAAATGAAAAAGACGTAAGTGTTCCTGGTTGTTTGCCCTAACAACGTTAATGACACTAGGGACAGCCGCTCACTCTTCAATCTTTTTCCTTGTTGGTAGTATCAAGATGCATGAAAAGAGAAACACCAAACAAAAGAATGATGAGAAGACTCCACAAGGAGCAGTGCCTGCCTATCTGCTGGACAGGGAGGGACAGTCTCGAGCTAAAGTGCTTTCCAATATGATCAAACAGAAACGAAAAGAGAAAGCGGTAAGCAGCCCAAACGAACTGTTTCTTTTGTGCGAAGATGACAAATTAAAGCTTGGGTTCTTAGATGGTTTTGTCAGTTCCACGTGGAACAGGACAGTCCAACTATCATTTCCTTTTTTAAGTGTTTGGAAGCTCTGTTTGTTTTTTTTAATCATTTTATTAGGGGCTCATACAACTCTTATCACAATCCATACACACATCAATTGTGTAAAGCGCATTTGTACATTCATT